GTTGTTGCCTTAAGAGACCATGGAGAAAAAGACTCCAGGCCAATTTAGGTAGGAGATAAGATAAAGAGACCTGGTCCTTTAATGAGTTGTTAGGCCTAGAGGAACACATACCATGTGTGCCCCCCCAGACAGGGGTTCTATGATTTTATAATAAGGTCCATCCAATCCCAGGTTTATGCAGCCCTGGTTCTGCCCCATTCTGCCCCCTGACACACCCCTTCAGGAACTGGGTTTGGTGTCTTTGGGACCCTTTCTTCCTCATCTTCATCTTCTTCACAGCACACACAATCCTGGGAGTTCCTAAAGAGTTCTGCCTAGAATGTCACTGTGTCTGGGTGATGTCTTCTAGTCCAGGCCTTGGGATGTTTTTCTACAATTCTACCTTGAAAAGAATACTAAAAACAGAGTTTAGAGGGATTGATATGGAATAGGGTAGTAGGGTTGGGTATGTGTAACTACTCTGTTAAGGGTAAGGGATATAATACAGCTACATTAGAATATATTCACTACACAACTAGTTCTAAAATCTACAAAATGTAAAAAAACCCAAAAAGGCCTGAGATATCAGTGTGAATTGACTCTAGTGTTTTGGCGGGGAGGCACCTGAGACATACATTCACGACCTATGAGATCTCAAATATGTCCGCTTTATTAGGATAGCTCAGAGTTTTTATAACGTCTCTACACAGGGTCTCGTGACAAGAAGCATACAATTGGATACAGGCTACTGTCCAGCTGTAAACATCCATTACAAATACCTTTATAATTGGACATTAACAGATAACAAGGCAATAGTTTACTTTAACGAACTCCACCTTCTTCTTGACACTCATTTTTCTTTGTTCTCAAAAAGACACCCGTAGCCATCTTGGGACCTATAACTTATAGTACCTATAAAACTATGTAAAAGTTTATAAAAGTCTATAACAGTACCACACACAATATAAATTGCTCACACATTCATTATGTTCCTCCCACACTGGTGTGAGTGTTGTTATTGTGAATCTATAATTCAGTCTCTGTTCAATTGTAGTAAATGCTACTGAATTCCTTTATAACTGTTAAATTGGTCAATGATTAAATGCTACTAATGTCTTTTGCCCCCTTATCTTTGGATCCAAACCCTTTGCACCCTGACCCTCTTGCATCCAATGACTCTGTGGAAATCATTCCCTTTCATAGAAAAAAAAAAAAAATTGGGGGATCTGCTTTTGAAATTTTCCTCCTCAGCTAAACTACAAAAATACTCCACTTAGTTGTTGAAGACATTAAGACATGAAGACAATAAAGAAAAAGAAAAAAAATTTGTTTGTCTGTATTTTAATGAGCCCCACGGTATGTATAGAGACAAGTCCATCATCCTGAGGTACTGAGAGAAGATTGAAGAAGTTGCTCAAGCAGTCAGAAGCCAAACCCCAGATCCTGATGTGTCCACACATCTCTGCCTGGGTGTGGGTGTGAATTGACTGTGGTGTGAGTGTTGTTATTGGGAATCTATAATTCAGTCCCTGTTCAATTGTAGTAAATGCTACTGAATCCCTGTTAAAAGAGAATGTTGAAAATGTTGAAAGTTGGTCAATGATTAGGTGCTACTAATCTCTTTTGCCCCCTTTACTTTGTGTCCAAATCCTTTGCACTCTGACCCGTTTCCATCCCAAGGCTCTGTAGAAATCATCCCTTGTCATAGAAAATGAATATTTTTGTGACTTCCACTTTAAAACCTTCTTCCTAGGCTAAACTACAAAACAACTCCAATTAGCTGTAGGAATCTTGAAGACATAAAGACAATTAAAGGAAGGGAAATAATTTGTTTTTCTGTATTTTAATGAGCCCCACGGTGTGTTTAGAGACAAATCCATTGTCCTCAACTACTGAGAGAAGATTGAAGAAGCTTCTCAAGAAGTCAGAAGCCAAAGCCCCAGTCCCTTGAAGCATTGCTGGGCCCCACTGAGGGCAGGCACTGACAAAGCCTCCCCAGGGACTCCTGAGCGCAGATCCTTGCAGGCCAGGAGTGCAGGCAGACAAAGGAAAGTGTCTTGTGGTGGCCTGAGGGGCAGAGGCAGCTGCCAGAGCCAAGGGCACAAAGGCCTGGGTGCCTTTGGGCCTTGCAGCCCT